TGAGAATGATAATCCGCGGCCATCTTCGGCCCATGTATTGGCGTCAGTCCCTCCGATGAAGAGGCTAGACGTTTACTACATTGCATGGTATCTAGAGAACTGCACATCTTCGGTGATTTTCTGGCCAAGTATAACCAACCGGTAAATGTCATAATATTGCGGGGCGGCATGCCGTTGTCAAACGACTGCTGAATAAAATGCGATAACGTTCGGGGTTGTTGTAAACCAAGTCCCGAATGACACAGAAAGTGGGGCAAACGTCGCCAATAGTGCGTCGCACAACCAACCCACGAACGCGTCTCCCAAACAACGACGTCAAATATCTTCGGCCAAGCACGCACATCAGCAACAAACGCGAAAGTCCACTCATGCAGACGAGACACCACGGTACACTTCGAAAAGTCTGAAATAGGCTGACATCCACATCACGGTCGACACAACACATTACCAGCGGTCTAGCGCCCCCCCCCCACAGCCCACGTCGTCTGCGACCAACGCGGCACAAGCCTCTCTTCGCACCCCCCCCCACCCCACACCGCCCGGCCAAGTCGCTCCCAAACTAGCCGCATGGGAAGCCGGCGACCGCAAATCATAATGTAGCTAACCTGTCGTAGTCGCCGTCGGCGTAGTCGGCGTAGCCGTCGACGTCGTGTGGGTCGTCGAAGATGGCATCGCTGTCATCATCGCTTGCGTCCGAATCCCAGTCGCCTTCCCGGGACTCTTCGTCTGCAACACGCCCACCAAAAAAGGCAGAGAGCGCGAACAGTTGTCAGGATTTGTGAACGTAGATGTCGCGTTGTTGTTGTTTTCACAAGAATTAAAAACCATCCCGGTCTCTATCCAGTACCTCCTTCTGCCCCAACTTCTCCGTACTTGGCGCGGGCCAATTTCCGTGGTCACAGCTTAACATATGTAGGAAATACTCAGGAATAAAATGGGCTAGAAGGGTGAGCAGAGATATTAAACACTGCGTAGCCAAAAAAAAAAATGCTCGGGCAAGCCCGCTGTGGTTGATAGCCCGAACAAATCCTATCGAAAACTATGGTGCCGTGACGTAGCAAACCTTGAACTACACTTGGTGTTTGCTTGCTTACCCGTGTCCGGCTCGCCCATGAAGGCCAAGAGAGCTCTTTCGACATTCCTAGATGAACGCCGAGGTGTTTCGACATTCGTAGATGAACGTCGAGGTGCAGCGGCGGCGGGAGGAGGCCCATATTTCATGGTTTCTTTCCTCATGGCTCGGTCGTACCTACCTAGGTTTAGAAATCAAGCCGTACCTACCTCGGTTATTCATATTTCTCAATGCCACGGGTTCAGGTAACGCGAGTCACTATCTTAGACCTGTGTACACTACCGTCCGGACCTCCATGCATGCCACGCGGGCGTGCTTGTCGGCGCATCCACATCAACCACCGTCGGGAAGCGAACGTTTGTCTAATTTACCTCTAACCCTCACCTGTAGGTGGAAGTGTCGGAAGTGTGCTCTTGTTCGAGACACCTAGAGAACCTCCACGCCCGCGACCTCTCTCGTTGTCATTGGGTTCCACGTCCATCGGTGTCACCGACACCTCGCTGCTGGGAGAGAGGGGTGCGGGACAATACAAATACATCCGTGAACACAAAACATCGAATGACGACCGTATCGCAGGAAGTTCTCCCAAGGATTCGTCGCGGCAATGGTGTCCAGGGTGAGTCCTGCCCTGAACAGTGGTTCGGGCAAGCTCGTAACTGCTGCTACATACATAATACATACATAGGGGCCAGCAGAAACTTCGCAGCAGACCACAAATAAATACACAACGGCGTTGCTATTGGAAACGCTGGTGTAACTCGTCGCTCGTGTATACCCCAACCTCCTAGTCCACCGGGCAACCACAAATCAGCTTATCGTTCGAACCAACGCTGAAGAACCGCAGGTAAGGAGGCTCTCGACGCCCCATCGCAGCGTTGACATCAACAACAGCGAGATTTCAAGATCGTGTTTCTTCGGTCTGTCTCGAGATCTCTGCTGCTGTACTGCTGTACGACACTCATCGTCTCGTTTCTCACAGGTGCACGGCGCAACCACGGGTTGCGCTCGCACTACTACACTCGCGGTTTCACTGCTACACTCGCGGTCCTCGGAACTAGCTCTGTGTCTGTCCCCTCAGGCACCAGCGAGTCGCAAGACACATGTGTGGGCAGCAGACCAGAGCGACACAAACCCGCCGCAGCAAAACAGCATGTTCCACACGCAATTCCGCGGTGCCGATTTCTTACTTGCAACCACCTCTAGCTCTCTGTTTGAGGGCCACAACACCCCTCGCTTACCTATCCATGGCAGCATCCAATTATCACCAAGTGTTTGACTTCCGTGGATCGAGGTATCGCCCTTGCGCTGAGCATGCTCCGCCGC